CAGCTTTTCCATCTGTAGAATGAAGATAATGATATCTACCTAACGGGACTGTCATGAGAGTTAAATGAATTACATATGCAAAATGCTTAGAAGAGCACCTGATGCATAGTATGTGCCATATAAATATTAGCTATTTATTGTTATGGCATGTAGTTGGTGTAGTAGAAGAGGTAGAATTTGAACTGAAGTTGAAGAATAAGTGTACCTGAGTATATAGAGACATGCTGCCAGTATGTATGTACACATTTTTATGTGGCTGTAAAGATTAGCAGTTACAGTATTGTAAGTAGGTGTTTTCATTTTATTTCTACAGATTTCCAGCCCCTGCACTGGGTTAAGAAAGTAATTCTATGGTTTTTGACCCAGAGGAACTGAAAGTCCACTTCCTTTCTCCTGACTTCATGATGGACACTGGTATGTTCATAATGGCATTCTTTCCAATGAGCAGGTATAGGGCTTCAAAATTCTTTACAACATGACCTTCTAGGATGGCCCTGCCAGTGATCACAAGAATCAATAAGAGAGAAACACATATGCTATTCCCAGAGGAGTCTTTCTTTTCACAGTAGAGAAACTGGGTCCCAGAGAAGTGAAGTCACTTGTCCAAGGCTACATACAGGTAGCCAGAGTAAGAAGAACTTGGGTCACTCTACTTTCTGATGGGTGATTATCTTTCCATCATCCATATCACTTGTTTATCTTAGTCTCTAACTAAAATTTTCTGCCAAAATATTTGCAAACTATGCATCTGACAAAGGTCTGGTATGTAGAGTCTCTGAGGAACTTAAGCAACTCAACAAGAAAAAAACAAATACCCCATCAACAAATGGGCAAATGACATAAACAGACATTTCTCAAAAGAAGACATACAAATAACCAACAAAAATATGAAAAAATGCTCATTATAACTAATCATCAGAGAAATGTAAGTTAAAACCACAATGAGATACCATCTCACACCAGCTGGAATGGTTATTATTAAAAACTCAAGAAATGACAGATGTTGGTCAGGATAAGGAGAAAGACAATGTTTACACACTGTTGGTGGGAATGAAATTAGTTCAGCCCCTGTGGAGTACGGATTGGAATATTCTCAAAGACCTAAAAATAGAACTGCCATTTGATCCAGCAATCCCATTACTGGTTATGTACTCAAAGGAAAATGAATCATTCTACCAAAAAGACACATGTGTGTATATGTATAACACTGGGTGATATATATATGTGTGTGTATATATATGTGTGTGTATACATACGCACTTGTGTGTATATATATATCACATTAAATACATATAACTGCAAGTAATTAAAAACAAAAGGAAGCAAGGTACACACATTCATCCATGAGGTGCCCTATTGTGATATTATTGTGAAATGCATAAAGCTTTGCATGCTCTACAGCAGTGCTGATGGCACTATCTATCTTACTTAACCAAATTACTCTGACACAATCTTGTACTCAGGTTGCAAATGAAAGCGCTTTACCAAGCTCATCAGCAGCAGACTGAGTGTCCTTTAGAGCTTCATGCCTGTAAGCATAAATTGTGACATTTTATTGCTCTTAAATGATGCATGATGAAATGATTGAAAGACATCATTATGTGGAACAAAATCCAGCAGGGAGTGGGATGCTAACTATTAAGCACTTGAAACTCCTATGGGAGTGTTGAGTACTTTTACTGAAAAACAGTAAGGAAGCGTTGTTTGTTATGATCAAGACTGTATTTAGAGAAAGAGTAGTGCCTTGATCATATTATACACATGTTCGGCAAGCCTGGCAAGTGGAAGGGAGTAAGAGGAGTATCCAGCTTGATGCTGGATTTTAGTGATTTAATCAGCATTCACTAAAAGCTTGTTAAATTGGTTCTCAGTCTTGCCCACAGATTAGAATTATCTGGGGAGTTTTTTGAATGACTATGTTGGGCACTCCCTTGTGGGGGTTTCAGTTTAGTTTCTCTGGTCAGGACCAGGCATTGGTAGTTTTTAAAGCTCCCAGACAATTCTAATGTACAGCCAGAGCTGAGAACCAGTGGTCCAGTACTTGAGGAGAAAACAGTTGCAGATATTTACAGATGTATCAATTAACTTTTTAAATAATTTCCTCCCTTTAAAAAAATGCTAATGTAGGGATTGCTGTGAGAGTAAACACAGGAGCAGGAGAGAAGGAATAATTGGTAGGAGGATACAAAAGAGGGACAAGGGTCTCCCAAAACCTCCATCAGATTTTTAAAAACTCACCTTACGTGAGTGACTTTATAAAAATGCTAGTGGCAAATCATGCCTGCAATATGACTCAATGCCTCTACTCTGGAATTGTAAAATGGCTTAATTTATTCATAAATCCGTTCATTTAGTGAGCTTTTATGAAAATACACAGTGCAAAAAACCATGTGCTATGTTCTCTATGCTCTTCAGAAGAAATACCTGCATAATTCTGAGGCAAGCAACACCTGAAAGGTACAGAATATGCATATGCGGGTGATGGACTTCTCATTTTCCCTCTTTGGAGCCAGGTACTTTCTCTGGCTCAGGTAAATATAACTCAGGACTGGGAGGAAGGTATTGCCTTTGCATGATAAGGTGCGAGAGATAAGCAGGGTTTCAGGGCGTTACATTTTGACAGTCTAAAGGCCAAGGGAAAAATGTCCCTTTTGCCCTCTGAAGGTTCACTGAAAAATCAACTGGCAAAAGGCAGATTAATGGGAGAAATGGCATACACATTTATTAATGTGCACAGAGAAGAATCATAGAGTGATTACCCCCAACACCTCAGTGGGGGTACAGAAGCTTATATGTCATCTTTAGGTTACAGAAAGAATGGGGGACTTGGATTATGGCCCAAAACAGGTTATGGTGGTAAATCATGCCCCTGTCTCATCCACTCTTACACCAGAGCCAATGCCATCACCTTACAGTATAAATGACATCACATTCCTTCCATATCACCCCCCTCCTAAGAGTCCCTCAATGAGAAAAGTTTGGATCCTGCTCTACTGCAGGTGGAAGAAATATGTTCCCTTTGCCCCAAGGGCTTCATCATCCCCAACCACCTACCACTGTTTCTCTAACATTCTAGTGCTTTTCTTTTTAAACTTTATCACATTTCGTAAATGTTGTGCTTGCTTGTATTTTTATTGTTGTTATCTTGCCTACCAGATAGTATCATTAATAAATCCAGAGATGTTTCTGTTTCTGTCTCATTCATTTTCATTTTCTAGTACTTAGCCCAAAAACTAGCACATGGTAGGCTTTTATTCACTATGTTTTTAAATAAAAAATTTCAAATGTAATGTTAAGAGAATTTTACAATTAATGCCTATATACTTAGCATCTAATTTCTATTATTATATTTTTATCACATATTTTTTTCATTTTTCCATCCCTCTATCTATCCATTAATACATGGTTGACTTTTAATAAATTTATTGAGTGACTGAATGAATGTTACTGTTTTGGTCCATAGCTGGGACTGTCCGTCTTAAGGTTGGCCCAATATAGACACTGAGCTTCTTCGTTTTTGTGTGGTCACAGTGTAGAGGGAGCTGCATAATCCTCCTGGGTGGGAATTTGCTAAGCCCTGTACCAGGGAATTCAGAAATAAGGACAAATCTGCCTTCCAAGATCACCCCAGTTAGACGATCTAAATATATTTGTGGTGGAAGAAGAAAAAAATAGAAAATATTGATGAGTGATTTTTTTTTTTTTTTTTTTTTACAAACAACTTAATAAAGATTGATTAGTCCCATCTTGATAGTAAAACTGCCTCTTATCTTGGCATTTTGTATGGTTTTTTTTGTTGCACAAGTAGATAAGAGTAATTGTTGACTTGGCCAATACCAGGGAAAGAACATCTTATAATTTCTCGTTTGGTGAGGGACAAATGCAAGCTCACCAGAACCATGGAACCTTTGGCCTTTCTTGTTTTTAAAGTTATGTACAGGTTATTGAAATATCCAAGTAATGGGAACAAGGGAAAAACACATGAAAAGTGTTTCTAATCTAGGCAAACTGTGGTCAAGGTAAAGAATGTCTCTGCCATGTCTAGAAAATCAACTTAGCAAGCAGGAAAGGTAACGTTTACTCTTCTTTCCCATTATACGCTGATAGTTTTTTTCCCCAAACTATTTTTGATTATGTTTTTTGAACCCTGTATTTATTATTTTGACTGCGCAGAAGAAACACCTTTGAGGTGACATCCTGGGGCAGTGCTTTGAAATAATTTTTTATTAAGCTTTGCTGTGTCTATTTGTGTTTATTTTAACTCTTATTTTTAGAAGGATGATTTTTAAAGAAGGTCAATGCAGTATCTTTGTGACTGAATTCCAAGAGTACTTAGCAGGGGTCCATGTATATAAGGGTGTTGAATCATTATGAACTGGGAATGCATCCAAGTTGATGGTTAACTGAGAATTCTCCGTTAAATATTTAGAAGCAAAGGCAATCTTTCAAAATAGGCGTGTGGGCCTTGGAAGCATAAAAATGGGTGAACATAACATCCCAAGTACAGCAGCAAAGGTGACAGCTGGGACCTCAGCTTATCATACCTCTAACCTGGGCTGTCTCCTTATGCCCTTCCTTTTATTTGATGGAGTTCTACTTTCTGACGTTGGTGGCACTCATCCCATCAACTTTCACTTGTTCATTTTGTCCTCCTCTGGGCTTTCATGTGCCAAATATTTGCAGGGCCCAGTGTGGTCCTGATCTGGATTTGTATCCTTGCTATGCTACTAGTAGCTAATCGACCTTGAACAAGAAGTGTAACTTTTTTAAGTTCCAGACTCTTTACCTGTAAGTGGGAGACCTTTATAGCTACTCCAACATGGAAAATGTGTCCAGCTTGGAGAAGTTCCTTGATACATGTTAGCTTATGTTGCCATTTTAAGATCGGTTATCATATTGGATTATTAAAAATTAATATATTAAAAATTGATAAACTGGGGAGAAATATGCAATGTACCACCTAGATATTTAGTGCAATATGAAATAAAGTAAATCTGGAAGTAGATATTTACTTACAAAATTAATTTTATTTTGCAAAACTCAACAAATACATGTTCACATCTGGTTTCTCTTCAAAACATGTGTTTGCTTTTTTAACATACATGCAAGTTAATTTGGCATGCCAAACATCTTTCTCTCTAACTCTCCTTGGAAAACTTTTTTCCATAACACAAACAAGGGTGCAAATATTGTTCAATGCTATTTACATTTTTACCCTCTAAAATGGCATACATTAATATTTGTTGGGAGGAAAGCAAAACTGCAAAACTTACTCTTTGGCATTCACATTTGCTTCAGCAGTATAATTAAAATCTTATATTTGTTTTAAAGATAAACACTTTGAAGGAAATTCTTAAAATCTTGCTTTGGCTCTGCAAAGGTGCCACTATATCAAAGCACTTAACTGGAGCTGTTGAGTTCCTGCTGGTAGAATATTACTTCCAGCCTATTTATTAGCTTTTCTTCCTGTAGCCCAATACATGCTTTTTCCCCACTGTCTACTGAATAAAAGCACAAAAAGAAAACAATTTCTTTTCTCTTTCTCCCCCAGCATCATGCAAGGCAAGGCAACACCACAAATCACAGTATCTGAATTTACTTTGATTATACTTTTGTTTCTTACACTTAAAATTATTTTGTATTATAATACTTCGTTATCTAAAAATCAACATTGTTGATTTTAAATGGTTATAAAGCCAGACTTTAAGAAGCATTTAAAACAATTCATGAACAGTGTACGAAGGGGTATAACTACCTCCAGCTTATTCTTTTGCATTTGAAGTAAAAGTATCATCGGTTTACTAGAAAATAAGACTTAGGGGGTCCATATAATTTATTCATATCTTTTTGTACATCGTAAACAAGGATAAGATACTTCTGACAGTAGCCTATAAAGATTTTTTAAAATATATCCTTCGGCATAGAATAAGTATCAAGGGAGCACTTTAAGTATGATTCTGATAGTTCTGTTATGAGCCTGTCCAGAAAAATTTTGCAGGAATTGTTCCGATTTTAAATAAACTAAATTCATAGATTTGTGTTGACAGAATATGGTATGTGAGGTAAAGTCATTGTATTATCTATGGTCTGATGCACAATGTAGCATGTGTGAAAGAAACTAAAGAGACATTTATTTCAAACTCCAGGCGGAAGGCAGAATATAACAGTGCATAGAGAAGAGAGTGCTTTTCAGGTCAGATAGTGAATGAAGACACAATAGTTACCTAAATCAATGAATTGTAAGCAACATACAAATATGCAATGCCATTTCACAGAATGTGAACAAGATCAATTAGAAATTGTACTGTGATAGCCACATATTTTTGAGAAAAATTCCCAAGCCAGGCGAATGTGGATTGGAATAAAGACATAGGCAGTGTATACCACCATAGCAATAATGGTTAGTAAGATGGTGTTAAACATAGATCGCTCCCAGGGCTCTAAAACAGCACAGCAGCTAATAATTTGGTACTGATAGTAGAGCCAGGAGAAATATTCCTTCACACGCCTCAAATCCATGGTTGTCTCCTTCAAGCTGCTGTAAGTTTGTCCTGTTAAAGAATGTAACAGATTAGAAGATAAGGAACCAAACACAGAATCTCTTTAAAATTTCATGATCTCAGCATGTTAATATCTTTCAAAGATTTGTTAAAGATTATTGAATAGATTATTAATATATAAATATTCCATAAAATAGTACACAGTATATTAATGATATTATATATGGTCACCACTACTAATAATTACTACTAAAATTGGTAGCAATAATAGTATTAGTAACAGTAATATCTATCTAAAGATGATAATTGCTAGAAATAACTTTAGTGATAACAGTACCTAAAAATTGAGGTTAGTCTCATTTTCCAGAGCCACGTATACAAAGATAAATAAAAGTGAATTTTTCTATTTCCTAAAGCATATATTCTGGCAGAAGATTTAAAAAATGGTGTGCACAGAAGAAATAGTATAGCAAGCCCAAGGTTACTAATCTTCAGAAGGGCATGCTTGCAAGTTTAGTCCTTGTCTGGCATCTGAGAACTTGGCTTTTGGAATATTCTCTCCATTTCCTAATAGATAAGGAAGATTCATTGTACCTAGCCTGTACAAGCAATGCAATTTATAGTGAATGGCTACTGTATTCTGGTACTCTGGAATTTTGGTAATTGCCAAGCAAAGTGTGCCCACATGACCAGCCCCAGTATAAACTTTGGATGCTGAGTTTCTTTCTAATGGGTCTCCCTGGACAGAAGCTATACATACATTACTGCAGTTTTTGCTGGTAGAGAAAGGAACACTTAGGTGGAGAGTGCTCCGGAATCTAGAGAAATCCATGTACATGCTTCTGATGTGCCCATGAATAAATACCGTGTGGATAAATATATGTTGAGTCCCACAAGTCCTTCTATGAATCATTGGACATGTGGGTGGTCTTACGGTTCCCCAAAACAAATGGGGAGCTCTAAGTGTACCTTCGAGTGGTCTTTTGGTTTTTTAGTATAGAACTTATAAAAACCACATTAGTGTTTAATTGGCCTTCAGATATGACCAGTTATAACCATAAGTAAAACTTCCCAGAAAGAAGTCATTTCTTAGAAAGCTTCCTGGGAGCTGGGCACAGTGGCTCATGCCTGTAATTCTAGCACTCTGGGAGGCTGAGATGGGCGGATCACTTGAGGACAGGAGTTTGAGACTAGCCTGACCAACATGGCAAAATTCCATCGCTACTAAAATATACAAAATTAGCTTAGTGTAGTGGCATGTATCTGTAATCCCACCTACTTCGGGGACTGAGGTGGGAGGATGGCTTGAGCCTGGGAGGCCGAGGTTGCAATGAGCTGAGATTGCACCACTGCACTCCAGCCTGGGCAACAGAGTGAGACTCTGTCTCAAGAAAAAAAAAAAAAAGCTTCCTGGGAGATTTTTGAGACTTTCATAGGCATAGTGGTGTCTCTGAAAATATAGGCTCATCTTTGTGCCTCTTTTGCTTGTTCCTAAGAATAACATGGTGCCATATCATCAAAGTCCACTTTGATAACTTTTACTATTCCAAGTACAGTTAGGATTTTTAAAGATAATTTCTATCTTCTGACCTGAAAATGTTTCTTTTTTCTTTTGAGGAAAGGCAAGATGCTTTCATACCGTAAGACTGTGGACTCCTTAGGCTATGGGGAAACCCTCACTGATTCTTGTATACTGGATGCTGGAACCATGCATATCACCAAGATAGTCATCAGTAAGTATTTGCTGAAGGAATGAGTAAATGAATGAATGACAAGTAATCAACTTAAACAAATAATTATAGAGCACTTATAGTCTCAATCTAAGTAGGATACATTTAGCTATTATTGATTTTCATACAGCTAGGCTTTCATAAGAAGTAATACATTTTGATAAGGATTGTTGTCACAAATTTAAAATGGAAAGCCTATGTGTGATCAGATCACAATGATCGGTAATAATGGCTAAGATAATCCAGCCAGATAGATAATACAAAACTGAAGCATTCTGACTTTCTTATGGACTGAAATGTCAGCCAGCCTCCCACCTTTCCTAGAAGCCAGAGTAAGAACTAAGTAATTTGATTTAAATTATTTCAATAACTTATATTATGAAACTTAAATTGGTAGGTAGACATCAGTGATAATTTACCTCCAATGTTCTTTTTCTCTCCCAGCTCTGGCTGCACAGAAAGAGTAAAAGTCAATAGGGTTAGATCTTGGAGGAAATGAATAACAGAAAGAGAGTGTCTTAGTCTGTTTGTGCTCTTATTACGAAATATCCTAGACTGGGAAATTTATAGATAATAGATATTTATTTCCCAGTTCTTCAGGGTGGAAGTTCAAGATCAAAGGCTCAGCAGGTTCAGTGTCAGGTGAGGGCACTGCCTTGTCTCTGCTTCTAAGATGGTACCGAATGCTATGTACTCACATAGCAGAAGGGATGGAAGGGCAAAAGGCTGACTCTGTGCAAAGCCTTCTTTTATACAGGCTTTAAGTGCTTTATGGGAAAAATAGCATATATAAGGGACTGTGGGAAACCTGAGCACAGCTCTGAGGAAGAGACTTTTGAGTTAAGTTCCAAGGGATCTGTATGAGTCAAACGAATAGAATAGACAGAGAAGTGGGGAGAACAGCCAAGACAGAGGGCACAACCTGTGCAAAGGCTGTAGGTGGGAAGAAGTAGGTTGGTTTTGAGGGTCCAGGGAGGGAGCAGGGAGCAAGATGACACTAAAGAGGCAGGAATGGCCAGAGTGAGGCCAGGAGCTACAGGGCCTGGTTGGGTAGATTTTATCTTTAACCTCTGAGTTAGGGTAATGCTGTGGTGGGTTTTAGAGGAGGAGGCTTTAAGTTCATGTGGTAATGCTGCATTCCAAAGCCAAGTTGAAAGGATTTGGGGGCTCAATTATTTCAGAAAATTGAAATCTCTACTTTTTCCTTGGGCATTACTTTTTTAGAATCAACAGTATAATGAGACTCTGTTTAAAATATTCTTAATGCTTTTTTCACTTTTGCAAACGAGATAATATTGCTTATTTAGAAATATTATTAACTTTTTCTCTGTATGGTTATGGCTATTTATTTATTTTTGAGATGGAGTCTCACTCTGTCACTTAGGCTGGAAGGTAGTGGTGTGATCTCGGCTCACTACAACTTCCGCCTCCCCAGGTTCAAGAGATTCTCCTGCCTCAGACTTCTGAGGAGCTAGGATTACAGGAACATACCACCATGCCCCAGTATTTTTTTTTTTTTTTTTTTGTATTTTTGGTAGAGGTGGGATTTTACCATGTTGCCAGGCTGATCTCGAACTCCTGACCTTGGGTGATCACCTGCCTCTGCCTCCCAAAATGCTAGGATTAGCATGAGCCGCTGCACCTGGCCTGGTTATGGCTTTTAAAAATGCACTAATTGCTGTGCATGGTGGCTCACACTTGTAATCCCAGCACTTTGGGAGGTTGAGGCAGGTGGATCACCTAAGGTCAGGAGTTGGAGACCAGCTTGGCCAACATAGCGAAACCCCGTCTCTAATAAAAATACAAAAAGTTAGCTGGGCATGGTGGTGAGCACCTGTAATCCCAGCTACTTGGGTGGCTGAGGCAGAAGAATCGCTTGAACCTGGGAGGCAGAGGCTGCAGTGAGTTGGGCAGTAAGAGCAAAATTTCATCTCAAAAACAAACAAACAAACAAACAAACAAAAAACATGAATTAAACCAGGCACGGTGGGACAGGACTGTAGTCTCAGGTACTAGAGAGGCTGAGGCCAGCGTGGGAGAATCCCTTTGGCCTAGGATTTCAAGTCCAGCCTGAGTAACATAGTAAAATTCTGGCAAAAACAAAACAAAATACCCTGAATTTAAAAAAAAATGCATTGATTAATCTCCTGGCAATTGCTTTCTCTATTAAAATTAGAATTCCTTGCTTGGGCAGCCGTAGCCAACACCTTAACCATGGCCTTGAGAAAGACCCTGAACCAGAGGCACCCAGCTAATCTGTATGCAGATTCCTGAGCCATAGAAACTTTAAGATAATTACTGTCTATTGTTTTAAACTGCTAAAAGCCAATCAATCAATCAAACAAAAAAACAACAGATAAAAGCACACCAACATGTATAACACCAACAGTGGATACATGGAAAGACCTTGGTCACAAATGCCTCAAATCTGCAATGACCTTAAATCTGGCCATTTTAAATATACTTTTGCACTGCTAACAATTTAAGCAGTTAAGATAAAAAAAACTTTTTCTTGCCAGTTTCCACAGTCTCAGCCCTCTAAGTTGCCAGATCTGACATGTGGAAAGTGTCTCTTGAAAGCCCTGATTGTCTCTTTTTATTTGATTCATTTTCCCCTTATTGATGAGAAGCAATTTTAAAGACAGTTTATTTGTCATTTCTTATTATGAGATGGTGAGAAGAGAGAACCTTGGTTATTATTGGTGAACCATCTGCTGCAATCTATTGTTAGAATACATACTATTTTTAGGTTCTAGATTTGCTTAGGTAATATATTTCTACCTTCTGTGAGTCAACTTTCTTATCTCCTATGGGACTATATACAAAATTAAAAGAAAAAAAACCACTTTAGACAATTTGATGAGTAATGTGGTTAGGAGAATTCATTCATTCAATGAATGAATACATTTTCAGTACTACTGTGTGACTCCTTCTGGATATTAATGGCTTCAGAAAGACTCTATTCTCAAAGGCATTACAGGCAGGAGATACACTCTTCCAGGAAGCAGCAAACTGGATGATGTAACAACATGCAGTGATCTAGGGTCCAGGAATGAGCAGTAAGTGGGAGGAAAGGACATGGAATAATGCTAAGACGAAAGCTAGAAAAAGAGGCTGCATGTGAGGATGTAAGATGACAGAAATATCATGAAATTAATTATCCACAGATAACCTAGAACTAGATGACAGCAAATATTTTAAAGTCCTAAATGTTCACAATGAAATGTGATATTAATCTGTCCACTTCCTTAGAGACCTAGTGCTATATCTCAGCAAAACTAAACCAAGAACTTGAAATGCTTACTTTATTCAGGCACACCATGCATCTCCTGTTTTTAGTTATGTACTTTTGAAAAGATAAATTTTGATATATGGAAAAGAAGGAGAGGGTAGTTTATTCTTAAAAAAAATTTTTTTTTCTCTAAAATTGATGACTTTACAATTGCTCTTAGAACTTTAATGAGAGTGTGTATTCAAAGGTAGCACTCCTAAGGAGACTGTGATGTATCTTCAGGCAGGGGTACAGTGGTCTGGATAGAGTTTAACTCTAACATGCTGAGACTGTGTGATAATACCTGCTGAAGACTGAATGTTTCTGTCTTGGAAGTCCACTAAAAGGTGATTTCATAACTGGGAATGCAGAGTAAATGAGTATTTCTTATTTCTGATTGTTACTACTCTTTTATCAATGAGTGACCATTTTCCTATCATTTTAGATTTGTGTGCAGTGACAGAGATGAAGTTACATCTCCTCTCTCAGATGGAGAGGGAGAAGATTCGAGACTCATGACTCATATTATTCAGGGGCAGGAATTAGTTCAGGCTTGGATGGAGAATAAAGTGAATAAATGTAACAATTTAAAAAAACATGTGGTAACACGAACAGTAGTGTATGAGTCATGGAATGTGAACACTGTTGAAGGGAGCTTGCAGGAAAAGTGGCAGCTGAGCTTGCTCAGGGAGCTCTTTGTTGTTGTTTTCTGTTTTGGGTAACAGGACTAGCAGGAAGTTAGGCAACTGCAATGAAAGAGGAGTAGCAGATGATTTGGTGCAGTGGCATTTACCTTGGCAATATTGCAGAAGATGTGATCCTGTAGCCCTCCCCTGCCAAAAAACAAAAAACCAAAAAACACAAAACTCCAAGTTATTAGATTTTCTCATTAAGGAATTTCCCATTCAGAAAAGTAGCTATTCTCCTGGCAGGGGGGCAGGGGGGAAGACTTAATACATTTTGGGTTAAATTTACTTCTAGAACATCAGAATCAGGGACTGGAAAGTCAGAAGGACCTATAGTTGATTTTTGGGTTAACTCCTTCTCATCTCACTTTGGAATTCTACATCAATCACTCAGCTTCGTGTGTGTGTGTGTGTGTGTGTGTGTGCGCGCGCGCGCGTGCGCTTCATATTTGGAACCCGAAAATCTGAGAAGTGATAGAAGTGTCCTGCCAGTTGCAGAGAGAGATGCTGTATCTAAAAAGAGACTGTTTCTGTAGTCACAGTAGCTTTCTTTGGAAAGAGCTTAATATGACATACTCAAGTACAAGCCTTCCTTTAACTAAGTAATTCATTTATTTAAAAAATTAGGAATATAGTGATTTTCTTCCAAAGAATACAACATGGAAAGGGGTATAAAAAAATGAGTAACTTTACAGTGAAGAAAACTGATAGGCCCTGCTTCAGCCAGTTGATCAAGGCCAACATCAATCATTATTAATCATGTTGATAATATGTCTTCATGATATGATGTCAAAAAAGACATTTTACCTCTGTGGTCTTCTTCCCAATAACCCATACATAGCTCCAGCTTAATCATGACAAAGGTAGCAGACAAATTTCAATAGAGGGGCATTCTACAAGATACCTGACCAGTACTCCTCAAAACTCTCAAGGTCATCTAAAACAAGCCAAGTGTGAAAAATTGTTACAGCTGAAGGAGGCTAAGGAGACATTATGACTAACTGTAATGTGGTATCCCAGATGGAATCCTGGAATAGAAAAGATACATTAAGTAATAACTAAGGACATATGAGTAAAGTAAGAACTTTAGTTAATATTAGTATATCAATACCGGCTCATTAATTATAATGAATAAGTTATGCTAATGTAAGATTTTAAAAGGGGAAACTGGATGCAAGGTATATGCGAACTCCCTGTATTGTCTTATTTATTTTTCTGTAAATCCATAACTGCCCTAAACATTGAAGTCTATTCAAAGGAGAAAAGAATAATTATGAAAGTCTTCAAAGGTCCAGAGTTATCCTATTCTAAACTCCAGTGAACTTTGCTTATGCTTTTCTTCCTATCTAGAAAAATTTTCCCAATAACTGTGTACATAGATGAGTAATATCCTTGTGTAAGAGACTGGCTTTTAAAATTTCTGAAACACAACAGAGAGCAAAAATACATTTTACATTGTGACTCATGGTGTACACATGCACACACACAAACACACACATACACGCAAAGTGTGTGTGTCATATAACTGAAATGAACAATACTTTGCAGTGCATGATGATATTTTTTATTCTATTCTATTTATTCTGGTCTATTCTAGTTAATTCTACCTTATTTTGTTATTTTCTTCTAATTGCAACCTGCAGTTGGAAAAACCCTACTTTCAGGCTTAATTAACTTAAGGGTTAGCTTCTCTAAGATGTCTCTGCATTGTTCAATATGGCAGCCACTAGTCACCCATGGCAATTTAAATGTCTAGTGTTTAATAGCCACTGTGGCTAGTGGCTACCATATTGGAGAGCAGAGATACAGAATATTTTCAACATTGCAGAATATTTTGTTGGATAGTGCTATGGATTCTCCCTATCTGTTGCTTGCACTAATGAAATAGCCTACCTAATATTCTCTTTTTTACCTTACAATCTGCTAAACTGCTGCTAGAATTAACTGTCCAAACTTAACAGATTCATTTCTCTTCTTAAAGCTTTCAATGGCTCTCCGTTTCCTATGAAATAAAACCTTTGGTTAAGGCCCTTCACAGTTTCATTTCTTCACTTCTCCAGTTAAATCTCTTAACTCTCCTGCTAAATGCCATTCTTTCTAAAGCTTCTATGTTTTCATTCATGCTTTTTTCTTTTCTTGAAATTTTATTGTGCCCCTTCTCTGCCAGATAAACTCCTATTTTAAGCTACTGCTTAAAGAAGCTATTTTAAGGCATACCTTCTATACCCTTTCTTCTATGGAAAATTCTCACAAGACCCCTCCCCTGCAAAGGAAAATATATTACTCGCTTTTATGTGTTACCATTGTAGCAACATTTTTAGTTATGCACAGTCTGTTTCCCCACAAGACCATGAGGGCTTTGGATACCGGGAATGTACGGCATTCATCTTGTTATCCCCAGTGCCTGGTTGGTGAGCTGGTCTGATGGCTGACTGACTGATTCAGCTGTAAGGTGGTTGAGGGCAGGAACCACACTCGAACTTACTTAATATTCCCACAGCATAATGTGGGGATCATAAAAGGTGCTTCTGAATTCCCATTGTCTGCTTTCAGGCAATGGGTTTTAGACATACTGTTTTGTGAAAATTCAGTACAATCTGTTTTTTTGAAAGATGGAAGAGAGCTGGTGCTAAATTTTTAATATATATATATATATATATACACATATATATATATAAAACAAATGTTTTTTTTACTTTCTCATAATGTTAAAAGTTCATGGACTCTGCAGGGGCATAAAAAAGACTTATGATGTAGTTTTAAATCCCATTAAAATTGCTTTTAGAAGTGCTTACTCTAAGTGAGTAATAATTTAAGATTGGTAGGTAGAAAAGTGGTTCTAATGGGAAACACCCCAGGCTGGGAACACCTGGACACTTGAAGACCTGAATTCTATTGCAGCTCTTTTCCTCTCTTTCTATTTATTTATTTTACTTGTGTCCTTGGGCAAATTCCAAAATCATTTTGTGTCACAGTTTCTCCATGTGTAACATTAAGATAATTGACTCTAAGCCTGTTTGAATGATGTAGTAAGGAGAGTTTGAATGGGTTTTGGCTCTTTAGAAATAATAGTAATAGTCACAACAACTGTAGTATCTTGTCATTACTTGTGGATTGGTAAAACTTTAAACCACTTGCAAGATTTCACTAAATTATAAACTCAAAGACTCTTTGTGAGATACAAAGACATACAATTATTTATTGTATCAGATACATGAATGTGGTTTAAGTTCATCTGATTAATGGCAAAACCTCATATTGCTTATGTGTAAGAATTAGGCATAACCACAGTTTATTGGCTTCTCAGTTTCCAGATACCTTGCTCTACATTTTCTGTGGGTGACTGTAATGTTTTCTGTGCCCCACAGAAAATTCCATCCTTATTTAAATTTTTTGGGGGAGAATTTCCTTTTCATCTTAGAACACTCCCCAGCCTTCCTTTGGCAACCAATTCCTGATGTTGACAGCAGAGTGAATACCAGAAATCAGATGGTAACTGAGGATTTGGAACCCAAGTTTTTAGAGGGAGCCAAAAAAAACCAACTTTAAAGTTTATGAATCAAAGCTAGGGAAGAAAATCAAACAACCATAGGGCAATTAAGGAACTTTCTCTACACTTTCATTAGTTGGATAATTTGATAGACCCTCTAGAACAGGCGTCCCCAAACTACGGCCCGCGGGCTGCATGCGGCCCCCCGAGGCCATTTATCCACCCCCTGCCCCCCCGCCACACTTCAGGAAGGGGCACCTCTTTCATCGGTGGTCAGTGAGAGGAGCACAGTATGTGGCGGCCCTCCAACGGCCCCCTGTGTAAAAAGTTTGGGGATGCCTGCTCTAGAGAGTAAGAAACCAACAATTTTAAGTCAAAGCACATGGTTCTTTAGGCAACAAAGTTACTCTAATTAAACTTTATAATCTTATACTTGGAAGTTTACTGAAATGATATATTAGAAGGAAAAACTCTCATCAACAGTTCAGTTAAGTTGTTGTGGATATAGTATTTTGTGTTATATACAAGAAGAGAATGTTTTGTGGCTACCTGAACTCATCTTATTTTATTTATATATTTATTTTTTATTGAGGCAAGGTCTCGCTCTGTTACTTAGGCTGGAGTGCAGAGGCATGATCACAGTCAGCAGCCTTGAACTCCTTGACTCAAGAGATCCTCCTGCCTAAGCCTCCCAAGTGGCTGGGACTATTGGCCCATGCCACCACATTCAGCTAATTTTTAAAAAGCAGTTTTGTAGAGGGCAGGTTGCACTTTGTTGCCCAAGCTGGTCTTGGACTCCTGTGTTCAAGTAATCTTTCCACCTTGACCTCCCATAGTGATGGAATTACAGGTATGAGCCACCACACCTGGCCTGAACCAACTTTATTGGGTTCCATTTTTATTAACACTAACAAAAGTAAAACAATAAAAGACATGTATTTCTAGTCCAACTACCAATTGACACCTTTGCGAAATATGGCATGTGTTGAGCAACTGCAATTTCAAGGCAGCCCTTTTCTTGGTCATCTTTTGATAGGTGACAGAGAAATTTATCAATTAAAAACTTCTGGCTGGAAAAGAAAATTTGGAATTTGACTTTAACAAAAATTCTCATGATAATATAGAAAATACTAAATTCAGATTAGATTAATCTCAATATTGCATGGCTATCAAAAATAAGATATATATTTAGGAAATAAAAAGAGTGCCATATACATTGATGCTGAGTAGATATTAGGAGTAGGAAGAGAAATTTGTAACAAGGGAATGATCTATCTTGTCTTGCTCCTGGTGTCCTTTCACTTCCTAACATAGAAACAGGGCAAGTGTCCCTGTTTATTTCTGGCGATACTGAAAGGGAGAGTAGGGCTTCTAGGTCAAGGTTTAGCTACAATGTCATTTCTTAGGATGAGCTTCTTTGTAACTATTTTATTTAAAAAGAAAAGAAAGGAAACTTTGTTGTTATATAAAGAAGGACAAGGGAAAATATATAGCTTCTGAGTGGCTTTTTCCTTTTGAATATATCGTTGCCAAGGGATGCCAGGTTGTTTTTAGAAGCAAAAAGTGAACAAACTGCAACACTAACAATGGCCTTAAAGCCACTAAAAGTTATTTGCTAAGTCATTAAAGTCTATCCACATTCACAGAAGC